TGTCGCACAGCATCGAGAGGAAGGCTTGGGCTATGAGGAACGCGAACAGCATGTTGGAGCTGACTGCGAATGTGAACCCGGCAGTCCTTGTCTCAACGGGGAATGTCTCGCTCGGTATCGGCAACTGAGCGGGCCCCAAGGCCATGCGAATGCCCGACGAACAAGCACACAAGCACGATCAGGATCGCAGCCTCTCTTTTGTCTAGTGAGTTTGCGGCTTTCAAATAGGCTAATAGAATTGCTCCAATAGCAGCCTAAATCACCCAGACTTGCTAATCACCAAATCAAGATACAGCAAAACGAAAAGTTCGGCGCAGAGAAAGAGAGAGAGACCCGACTGATGAACATTTGGATGCAGGCTTGGAGCAGCAGCTTTCTCCTTCCGACTCTACTGACAGCGTAGATCGACACCAATGTACTCGACACGTTCACAATTCCCGTGATCACGGAGGACGACGGCGATGTGTCGTTCTTGAACCTGACTGTCTGGAAAAGGACCGGAGCGTAAAACATCAAGGCGTTGATCCAGGTGAACTGCTGCTGGAACACTTGCAATGAGATCCCGATTAATAGGTGTTTCGCCGGTTTTTACTCCGTCGAAAATCTTTCACCGAACGCTGCGTTTCGGATTTTATTAAGGGAGACCAAGGTCCTGAATCAAGTTTGGACAGAGAATGTCAAATGCATTTATTAATCCCAATTTAGATCTTACACCCTGACTTGATACGATGCTAGACTCGACAATACTAACAATGAAGCAACAACTTGCAAATGTTGCAATTAAGCTACGTCGGAATCTAATCAACGACACAACTTCAAAGTACGCCAGAATTTAATCAATGGCGTAGCTTAAGAGAATATGGCTTGAATCTAATCAATAGCTATACTCTAAGCACAACGCAGGAATTTAATCAACGACGCTGAACTGGTGGCACAACATTGGAATTTAATCAACAATGCTAAACCTGATAAAGACCCTCGTCGGAATTGAATCTACGACAAAGAATCTGAAAGCTATGATTAAAACTACTCCTAATGCGTTAAGGATAAAGACTAGATAAAAGATGTGTTGTGTTTGTCGAAGAAGGTCGCTCCTTCGTTGGAAATCCTTGAGTATTTATAGAACAGCTTGATAACTGTTGATCGCACTTTTCCTTGAAAGTCGTTTTTCACTTCTTTACGTTTCGCGTTTTAACTGCTGACTTATCAATGTGGCTTACGCTCCTTGGGCATCACGTACTAGCTAACGTGTCTTTTTATTTCTTCCTTGATCTTCACGCCCACGGTCATATTTTTACTTTTTGACACGTATAAATGAATTTTCCACCACGTATTACCATGATCCCGTGCAAAGCTCGTGATCTTAGATTCGTCGACGTCACATGCAAAGTTCGTGATCTTGGATTCGTCGACGTCACGTGCAAAGCTTGTGGTCTTTGGATTCGTCGACGTCACGTGCAAGGCTCGTGATCTTGAACTTGTCAATAATGTCACGTGCAAGGCTCGTGATCTTGAATTTGTCGACACCTCTATGACATGTCTTGTCGACAATTGCCTTAGGTCTTCTTAATGCCTCTGAGCCTGACTTGCGGGCTTTTGGATTTTCGCTATGTGGGCCGCACTTTATACCTTTTGTAACTTGTAAACGGTCCACTCCCACCAGGGATTATTTTGGGTGTCAACAATAGGAAAGGCAAGATCGGTCTCGTTAGGAGCTTCCTGGACGGGTTCATTGACTTGCCGGGCCACTTCATCGGCCGCTTTGATCTGCTCGAATTCGCTGTCGACTCTTTTCACACCCCTGATGTTTCGAGAGTCTTTCTTCCGCACATTTTTCCTTCCCGCGCTAGACTAGCCTAGTTGGTGTCTCGGCGATGACTATCGATCCTATGAACAGGAACATCTCTGGGATGAAAAAAAATGAAAGAAAAGTAAAAAAGCAAACAAAGAAAAAGAGAAAAGCCGCTGTTTTTGTGTACCCAAGACCGAGAGAGAAAAGAGGAGAGAGAGAGAGCGCGCGCAATGAGAAGAACGGAGGAGGAGAAGAAAAAAGAGGTGCGGCTTTGCGGTCCCGGTTCAAAGCCAAAGGTTGTTGGAATTGGCTCAAAATCCGGCAATTTCGGTTAGAGTCCTTGCTCCATTTATATTAATCCACCTTTGTAGTAGTGAAATATTGCCTAAGAAATGAAAGAAGATTCTTTGTGGAAGAGATTGTAAAATCTCTATGAGAGGAAAACCACAAAAAATAAAGCCTTTCAAGTTAAAAAAACTTGTGAATTTAAGAAACAAGGAGGGAAGTAACATGTTAGAATATTTGAGTGAATTTCAAGATGTTGTAAGTCAATTGACAAATTTTGAAATTGATCTTGGCAATGAATTTTTTCTATGTCTATTGCTTTGTACTTTTCCAGATAGCTTGGACACTTTGGTTGTGGCATTTAACGGTTCAGCTCCTTTCAGTATGCTTTTTATGAGCATGGTTAAAGAAAGCCTACTCAATGAAGAAATCAAGAGAAAAGGCTTGAATTATGCTTCTAAAGTAAAGGCTCTTGTTTTAGAAAACATGGCAAGAAGTTAATCGAGAAAATTTCAGAGTAATGATAACAGAGGCAAGTTAAAAAGAAGGTTAAAATCAAGGCCGAGGAGTGTGAAGGGTTACAATTGTGGCAAGATGGGACATTATGCCAAAGAGTGCTGATTGTCAAAGAGATAAATCCCATGATAGAAATGGAGATTAAAAGAAAGAAGAGAAACATACGGCGATAGTTGCATCCGATAGAGATATAATATTCATTTGTGATGATGCTTGTGTAAATCTTACATGCCAAGACTCTAGCTGGATTGTTGATTCTGCAGCTTCATCTCATGTCACCTCTCAGCTTGACTACTTTACATCAAATCGCAACAGTGATTTTGATTGTTGTTGAGCCTATAGTGTGTGACTAGAGAAAAACCCTTTGTGTGTCATACTATTTTTGATGATTATTGGAAGTTTTTTTTTTTGGGCAAACCGTGGTTTGTCTCGCATTGGACTTTCCAAATAAAATTTTGGTGTTGCTTTTGCCTTTGTCTTCTTATCATTTGGCAGTATATTTATTTATTTTGAGGTTGTATTGCTGGTTGCTGCTGGGGATAAATCGATTTTGGTTGACTTAGTTTTGGGGATGAAATGGATCCTGGATTAGGTTAGTTCTTGGTCAATTGTTACTCGGTTGTCCCCAACACTTAGTTTACTGAGTTTGCAACTAGAATGCCAACAGTGAAAAGGAGTTGGAAGTGAATGTTCACAGCTCCTCTGTGTTGAACATGAGCAATCTCTGACAAGAACAAAGGCACAGCTGCATGATTATTACCAAAGAGATTGGAAAGTGCTACACATTTTGTGAATTCCCATGATTTATGCACATCGAATTTCAACCAACTTAAAGTACTCAAATGCCAAAAAAAAAAAGTACTCAAATAGTTCTTGCATGGCTAAGTTACATGGATCTCTCCTCTGTTTTAAAAGAAATCTCCATTCCTTGTACCCTTAATTTTCTTTGTTTTCAGGATAAAAATTGAGGCCAAACCTTACAAAGAATAAGCTGTAGGATTTGTATTGCATTTAGAATGCAAAATTTGTGGGATTAAGCACAAATTGAATCAAAATCACCTTCCATAAGGTTAGAATGCAAAATTTGTTCAAAACAGTAATTATGACTCTTATATGCTAATTGATGGAGCAAGATTCACATTGCCATACCTCATTGCCGAAACTGACTCTGCTGCATAGTAGAATGCGTGCGACGATCAGCATCCAAATACGTTGAGCGCCAGCACTCAAGCCGGCTCCGCGCGCGAAGAACGAGGACGCAATGAGAATGGTGGGCTTCTATCCCCATTTAGTACAGACCCTCAACGCAACAACCTGAAACGAGAGCTACAAGGTACAGGGAGGATGCGAAAAGCTGTATTTACTGACTATCATTCTTGCTGTAATTGTCTTCCTTGGCGTGGAGCTTCCTTTCGTGGACGGTGGGGAAGAACTTTATCAGGAAATCGTCCATTGATGTAACTCCATCTGTGACATTTTGAAATTCGACCCTATTCGAGATGTAATGAAATGATAATATTAATCGATGTACTGTTAGTAAATCTCGCTCCGAATTGATCACTCGTGAGAGACTAACCGATAGGGAAAGACTATTAAAGAATTAGGTACGCACGACCTAAGAACCCTACCGTGGATTGACAATTCGACCATAAGGATTGATGAGGATCAATTTTAAGCCATTATAGACCGATCAAGGGATGGTTATAAAACGATTCGTCAATAGTATACAATCGAATCGCGGGTGATTCCGCTTGACCATTGTATGTATTGCGAACAACCCTAAACCCATTGACTGATGATCGCGTACTTCGAAACTAGCGATTGACCCCTCACAATTACATGACAATCGAGATCATCCATGGTTCGAGAAAAACTTAAACGTGGTTTGATACCGAATCAACCACGGGTCGAATACGCTTAACTCCTAAAAGCCGCCCGTTAGTTTGAGATGCACTAAAGTCACAATTGATTGATTTTTACCACAAATTAGAATCCAAATTTGTGTGTCGAATCTTCGAGGATTTCAAGACTAAAATTATTGGACATCGCCTCATTGATTTACTCGTTTATCGATTTGCTCGAATTTCTCGGAAAAGGATTAACGGACCGAGAATTTGAGCCCACGAGGGAGTGGGCCGGATAAAGGCACATTGGGCCTCAAGCCCAATGTGGTTCGGCCATTTGGGCCCAAGGCAGCCCAAGTGGGCCCAATGAGGCCCATTTAGCCCATCTAAGCCCAAATTCCATTTTCAAGCCCAAATTTGAGCCCAACCGCATTTTCAAGCCCGCTTCTTATCCGATTGAAACCCAACTTGATTTATACGAGTCCGTACAAAATTCTAGCTTGTATATGCATATAAATATTTTTATACCTTGTAAAATTACCAAAATACCTTTCTTTGCATTTATGATCAAGAAACAAAAACATTAAAGAGAGAAGACTTTTGTGCATTTTTGAATGATAAAAGAGGACTTTGAAGGCTTGCCTTAAATGAGAGAAATATCTCTCTTTTGTCTCTCTTTCCTCACTCTCTCTCTCATTTCACGTCCACCCCCTCCTCTCTCTTTTCTATCTCTCCATTTTCCTCTCAATTTTCACTCTTCTTCCCCCTTTTCTTCCTTTCTCGGCCAAACCAGCAGAACAGCCTTTGGGCTGCTGTTCTTGCTGCTTTACACCACCACTGAACCACCAGCAGCTCGCCGTGTTTGCCTGGAGCCGTACGCCGCCCGTTCAAGCCTTTTTCCGCCGCCGGTTCAAGGCCGCCGAGCCAAAAACAGCCGCCCCAAGTTGCTGTCCAGCCGAGACACAGTCGTCGTTGTCGTCTTTCCGTGTCGATTCTGGACCGTGCAAAGCGTAGCCCTCGCCGCCGCCGACGCACCGGTGTCTCCGGAATTTTAATCGGGTGAGTTTTCGCACTAATCCCTTGATTAGTATGTTAAACTTGATTAGAATGTATTAGTTTAAGTTAATTGTGCCTAGTACTAATTAAGTGGGGATTAGTTGTTAAGCTATTGGATTATTTATAATAATATTTTATTAATTTTCAGAATTAAAATATTATTAATTAATTTATTTTCGGAAAATAAATATTAATATTTTAATAATATTTTTGTGGAAATTCCTAAATTAAATTGTGATTATTTTAGGCTTAAATTGTAATGCCTAAGTTGGAATTTTCCTTATAAATTGGTTTGTATGTTCAATTGAATTGATTGTTTATTATTAAATATAGAATTGTGGGCATTTAATTAATAAACCCTAAGGTGTCGGGTTTATTTGCTGAGTTTTATGAGATAAATATGTTGTGGATGATTGAATATGGAAGTGTGCCAAGTTTGGTGGTTTAATAATATGTGCATGATCACGTGTGATTATTTTAGTGCATTTTTACGTGTGAAAATTGCAATATTTCAACGTATTAGCACGGATCATGTTTGCATCTGCTATTGCAAATTATAATGATGGAACCTGAGTACTGCTATGTGTGCATGATCACCTAAAGGTTCCTTTTGTGCCCGGTTATACCAGAAAACCGTATACCGGATGACCGCCAACCTAGGGTTTGGCCGTCCCTAACGGGTGTCCTCAATTTGATAATTGGAAGCCGTCGCTAGTAGAAAGGGAGACGTAGTCATTCGCGAATTGGATTCGGAATGAACCCCATTTTTGGGATACACCGTCATTGTGGTAGGGTGAGACGATGCCGTGCCCGTTGAGGTAGGGCGATGCCCGGATATACCGGAAGACCGCCAACCTGATGCGAATATCGCGGGTTGTACCGTAGCCCCTGGTGTGGCTGTTGTAATTGAAATACGCGTGAAAGATTGTGGTGGCATTGCGCTTGATTATGAGATCAAATTGTTAGGCACGGTATGGGACGGGCCGAAGCGGTTTCACCTTATAATCAGGACACGTGTGAATGCATTATGCTTGAGAAAGTTGATGCGTATTTTGATTGTATTATATGCTTATTGCATTATTATGGCATACGGTGAATCATAACGTACAGGGCGTGTGCATGTGCCCGGGGCAAGGTAAGGTTGCCTGTGACTATGTGGCGAAATGTTGTGAGTATTATGTTGAGATATCTACCTTCGATGTATCGTTGCATGTTTTAGGTACATCCGAGATGAGTTGACCTCCTAATCGAGGCTTAGGTCGTTAACTTACTGAGATTTTATCTCACTCGTTGTTGTTAATCACTTTTCAGGTGCTCAGATATGAGTACGCGTTGCGTTCCAAGAGAACTGGCTGTTTCGAGGGGAAACACCTTTTTGAGGTTATCCTCGTAGATAGAGGAGTTAGATTAACCCCTACCTTTTGTGGTTGCAATCGGATAGGTCTGTGTGGCGGACTCGTAATATGTTAACCCTATGTATTGTTGATGTTGTTTAAATTGAGGTATGTTTTCCTGACTATCCCTGTTGTTTTGATTGGGAGTTTTAGTTCGCTTCCGCATGCGTTTATTTGTTAACGATTTGATTGGGTCGGCGATGCGTCCTGAGACGTCGCATTTATAACGACTATGGTGGGATGTTAGCGTGCTCGAGGGTCGGGGCGTGACACCACCTTTTGCACGTATGACAAGGAAGAACAATGAGTGAATCATCTGCATAATCAGGCAGATGCAAACTGAAATTTCGCTTGGCAATGGCTATGAAGAGAGCAAAAAGTACATTAAGTAATTATCTTGTGTTGCGGCCTATCATGTGCTTTGATGTGCCATTTTACATAAACCAAAATGCATCACAACATGCCGCCAATTTTATGCAATGATAAGGTTACATAATTTTCCTTCAAGAGTATGAAAACCAAAGGAGATTTGAACTGACTAAATTTACAGTTTACTGAGTTCTGATCATGTTATAGAAGTGCCTGCTTGATGATACCGAACTTCATCTGATTTAGCAGAAAATAACTCGTAAATTTCTCGGCGTGGGTCAAAATTGATGGCATACTTGAGTGAGTTAGTGGATTGGTGTACCTGAAATTCCATATGTCATAGCCAAACACGAGACCACCAAAAGCGGCAAGAACCCAGAGACAACGACATAGAGTGTGACGTTCCACTGGAAGTCCCCAAAATTGTCAACCTTCATCGTTTTCGGTTTTGCCTTCTGACCTGATTCTGTAGGCACTTAGTATGGGAACGACTCGCTAAAACATTAAAAGATTGACTTGGTTTAGGACATAAGGTGCACGAAGTGGGATGAATTGCAGCACTTCCCTTAAATGAGCTTTGTCTCCATTTCAGATGGAGAATCTGGATGAATTTCACAAGTAAATTCTGCCTCAAATGCAGCCTTAAAGAGCAGATTCGGTTCTACATATTCTCAGTTCAAATTGATTTGGGAACATCACCGACACTCGGTTTAAAAAGACAGAAATTGACATGCTAGGAGAATCCTTATTCATGTCATGCTCCGAGTGTAGATGAAAAGGACTAAGGTGCAATCTTACATCAAACAATATGTGGATATATTATTGCTAGGGCCATCAAATTGGTGTGTCGGGTAGGGTCGGTTTGGGTTGGGTAGAAAATTGTCCGACCCGTTTCGACTCATTTATATGCAATACAAATTTAGTGACCGATACCCGATCCGACCTAATTACTAAAATACTTTCATATTTAATCCAATCTATGAAAATTTGTACTTACCTAGCTAACCCACTTTAAGCTTTCTATGTGTATATGTTATTTGGATAAAATCGTTATTTCAACTATAAGATGCTAAAGAATTGGCTTTCAACATTGCATAGAATTTTCAGTTTCTATATTGATTCACAATGAAGAATAAGAGAAGGTTAATACTTGGTAAAGAATTTGTAAAAGCACAACAATAAATAATATGGATGAATTCAAATTTTAATTAAATGGAATACATGATATTTAAGAGGATGATTTATGGCGACCATGGATTGCAATGACAAGAATTAATGTTAGAATATTCATATAATGACAATGCAAAATGCAATCAAGGAAATATATATTTTAATAACTAATAGATGAAACTTATTAGATTGATAAAAATAAAAATAAAATGAGAAAAAAAAGATGTTGTGATATTTTCAATAAGGGTGAAGTTAGACCCGTCTTGCAAGCCTACCAAAACTTTTCTAAACTTGGAACGGTCCAAGGAATTCATTATTTTCTTATAGACGGTGAAAAGAAAGTCACAAAAGTGGATTGGGTTTGGGTAGACTGTGAACTCATTCAATGCTCATATTTTTGGTCATCATATTGCGGGGTCGTAAAGAGAATATATAGAACTCAATTGCAAAGAGAATATGCGCTCCTATGTTCACAATATTTGCACTTCGCTTTATCTCTATGATTGTCGCGTGGCAAGACACTTGTTGTAACTTTAACATGTGATCCACATTTAACCAATAAGTTTTTAGCTTAGTGAATTGTCATCTTTTCTATCTATATTGGATTAAAATTGTAGAGAATCGATATTGAGAAAGCATATGAAGATTTATCTCTTCTCGAGGGTAAATTTGGAAAAAAAGTATAAATTAGAGAAAATATTTTCAATTATAATCTACCATCTCCTAGTTTCTATACTTTATTAATATTGAGTTTAAATGTTAGAAATTGGATAAGGAGAAAGTATGTTAAAATTTATTTCTATTTGAATTTATTTTTTAAAAGTATAAACTAGAGAAAGTATTTTAAATCATCCTATTAACTGGCATGGCTCATTTTGAATGTAGTTTCCTAAATTTATTTGTAGAGAGTGAAAATTATGTGCTAATTACAAAAGTCTAAACAAATATTTCAGTATTCTACAATGTTTGCTGCAAGTATAATTGTCCAATCAAATTAGGATATGTACTCTTGGGCGGATCAATTAAACTTGAACAAAGATATGGGTCGAATGGACGAGCTAAACAAAATTAGCAATAAGCAAAAATCTAATTTAGGATTTTGATATTTTTTTAAATCAAAGTAAATATTGTTCAAAATACAAATAGGGGATAGACAATCTTAATTTGACCAATCAGGAATAATAATAAGGATCAAAGACTCCTTCCATCCTTTCTATAAGCAAGTGACCTATTCTCTTTGATTGACCGACAAATGGAGGCTTTTTAACTTTTGTAGAGTCATAAGTGAATCAAAGATCGTTCAATCTAATTCGAGATTAAGCCACTAAAACCCTCTTACGGTGCTTATGTGCATGGGCTTTATTTTTTGTGATACAAGTTTAAACATGAATAAATAGATGAAGATATCTTTAAATATGATATCAAATGCTGTACAGTATATTTTTAACAAAAAATTAAAATAGTGGATTTCATAAATCCATTTTGTCACACCCCAGGACTCGTCGCCGACCCAAACGAACATCAAAACATAAAGCGCACGCGGAAGCAATTATAACACCCAGACAAGTCTTGAAGACCAAGGGTAGCAAGAGAACACTTGAACAAATCAACCACATACTTCATTCAATGGCACATACTTACAAAATCAAACCTTACGTACAAAAGGCTAATAGGGTTAAAACCACCATCATAAAAAAGGGACAAGTGGTCGGGTAGGCTAGCCTAGCTATACAAAAAGGTCCACCAACTCCATGGGCTCCTCTTCGGGGTCTTGCTCCATCAGCTCTTCCTCGGGATCCCAAAACGCTATGATGGACCATTCATGGTCGGGGTCGGGGGTCTGAAATGGTTATATAATAACCATAAGAACGAGTCTCAATAAGCAAGCACCCTAAACCCCACATAGGCTAACGCGTACCTCCAAACAAATAGAATAACACCCAACACATTCAATCACATGCAATAACATTCAAAGGCACTCTCTAACCTTACCTCGATGCATATATAACCCTGCACGTTAGTTGGATTGCAATAACATAACCAACTTATCATTGCACATGCACTCCAAGATACAACCAATTTCCTACACATGCATTCATAATAACATTCCAACCTATTCCAATCTCAAACTCTACACATGCTCACGTCTTTCAACTTCCGACACACATATGTGTCCACCTCGATCAATACCGACCCGCGTAACACGTCTCAGGCCTACCTCATCGTACGACTCACGTAACAGGCATCAAGTTTACGGCACGACTCGCGTAAAGACGCATCAAGTCCACGGCACGACTCGCGTAAAGACGCATCAAGTCGGCGATCCTCCGATTTATCCGGGCATTGTCTCGCGTAACACGCCTCAAGACAAATCCAATTCCTCGCGTAAACACGCCTCAAGGATTATAGGATCAAACCTCATTCAATTTCATGCATTTCCCCGCGTCAACACGCCTCAGGGATTATCGATCATACGCGATACATATCTTATTCCCTTCACACAACATCAACATGCCCTAATCACACACAAATATGCTCAATTCCAAATCAACAACTCAGCCCAACCAATCCATTCATAAGGGCAGCAATGTAGCTCAACCATATCATCCAATCATTCCAACACCTTTCAATCCACAATTCAAGTTATACACTCAATGGCATAAATCCACACATCTCAACATTCAACTCAGCCTCCAAGCACCACAACATTCAACTCAGCCACAAAGCACCACAACTCAACTACAAGAAACAAGGGAAAACCGAATACATAGATTCGGAGCAATTCTGGGCCAGCGTGCAGTTCTGGGATCCCTTTTAAAATAAAGAGTAATTCAACTCTAAAAATTATGAATTTCGGATATGTCCTAGAAGACATCTTGATGAACATTTTTCATGAAGAACACAAAACCTAGTTCTGCATAGAACCATCTCTTTTTGTCATCCAAAGTCGGACATAAAACATTTTATTCGGACTGGCCATCCAGCTTTCAAAATGCATTTCAACTAGTAACCAAATCTCCTTAGAAAGCTTTGAAATTTTTATATGTTATATCCACAAATGTCCCCAACAAGTTTTATGAAGGAAGTATTTTGAAAATAGGTCTGGAAAAATTTATAAAAATTCGAACAGATCCGAAGGTCGGAGGAACAGTGTTTCCGGCAGACTTATTTCGGTCCAAAGATGGACTTCCGAATGGCCTCAAATGACTTCCAAAAATTTCCAAATTAAATTATGTTATACTTCAAGATGTTTTGAACAACTTTCATGAGGGACAATACCCCAGATTCGGCCCACACAGATCTCGGAAAAAATAGAAAAATCCAGCGGCGCAGCAGCAACCTTACCGGAAATCAACCAACAAGCACCACCAAGCAAACCAAGCACAACCAGCCACTAAACCAACTATCCACAGCCCTTAAACCATCCCTAACATGTCCATTAGTCACCCCTTAGCCTAGTCAAGGGTTAGGAAGCCACTTACTCAAGGTCTAAGCAAGATTTTCAAGCTAGGGAGCCTAACAGAGCAAAGCCAAGCCAAGCATGCAGCAGCTGTTCCGGTGGACGTATGGGTGGCTCGGCGGCG